GTACTCAGTTATCAATGACTGTCACTGGCATTTAGCAAGGATGACTAAAGAGTCCAACTTTCTGGTCATTGGTTTTCACCTTCTCGTTCCCCAAACTTCACACCAATAATTAGGGTCAGATGTACTTGTGCATTTTCTTCTTTACTTCTGTTCATTCTTGTTAGAAATCCTAATTAGCAGTGAAATGGTTGAAGGAGAAGTGAGCCAAAGAGAGGAAGAGAAAATCAGCCTGAAGAACAAGAATTTTATAATAAGAATGTGTGATCTGACTTTTCCCCATTGTGTCTTTCCAGACTTAAAGGGAATAAATATTGGAAAGATAAAGAATGAATCAGTGATTATTTTCTTGAACTGGTTAAAAAAATATGACCAGTAATAAAACATGGATACAAGAATCAGCTCCTCAGGATTTAGGCTTTTGTCTCTGGGTTCTTTGGATTCATTCACAGCCATTGCAGCCATTATTTGCACCCATATGAGGAGAAGCTTAACTCCTTCCTGGGAGCCACATATCCTCAATGACAGGACCAGTCCCTCATCAGGAAACCAGAGTCTCTCCTATCAGGTGGTCCTACCGATGACACCAGAAGATGTAGCATCTATGTTTATCAGGAAATGTAGTACAATCTATTTCTAATTCCTTTCCTGATCATTGTCCCAAATAATACGTACAGAAAAATATTTAGGTTTAATGAAGCTTGTTTATCAATAAGAAACACCTTTTTTTTTTTTTCCCCCTATTTGGTAATCTAGAAAATAGATCCTACAACTGAGAACCATAACAGGGATGGGGAGAAATACTTGTCACTTGTGTTAGGTGAGAATCCAAAATAAATAAGCACATATTTGAGGCAAATCAGTGTCTGTTAAATGCCAGGAACTACTCTCTGAGAGATTACATTCCAAGCCTATTAGATGGCAGGGGTAACAAGATCATTTAACTGAAATAAGAAAGTGTTTTTTTAGGAAGACAATATGCTCTGAAAATAGATAAGGAATAATAGCTTTTAATTTTTTGTGGTAGGCAGAATGGCCCCCTGCAAATGTCCAAATCTCTGCAACCTTTGAATGTTATGTTGCATGGCAAAGATAATTTGCAGAGATAATTAAGGTTAAAGGGCCTTAAAAATAAGGGGATTTTTTTCTGTATTATCCAGGTGGACCCAATCAAACCACATGAGCCTTAAAAACAGAAAAATGTGGCAAAAGGATAAGTTGGAGAGATTTAAAGCATAAGAGGGACTCTACCCATCTTTGTCAGAGTGGCCATATGGACTGTGTGAAAAAGTATGTAGAAAACTTATAGGAATAACTGCTGACAGGTAGCAGAGAAACAAGGACCCCAGTCCTACAGCTACAAAGAACAGAATTCAGCCAGGACCTAAATGAGCTTGGTAAGGATTCATCCTCAGATTCTTATGAGATGCTACACAAGACCCAACTGAGCCATGCTATACTGAGCCCTCTGACCTACAGAACTGTGTGATAATAAGTGGGTATTATTTTAAGCTGATAACTGTGATCATTTGTCAAGGCCGATACGCAACTACAGAAAGTAGATAAGAGACCCCCATGGAGAAGACAACTAGCTCTCATAAAATCTACCGTCACAATAAGTACTGTAGTGATCTAAGGAATATTTAAGAAGTGAAGAAATGTTTATTTCTCTGAAATGTTAACTGGACAGTGTGCTGTCTCCACTCTACTTCTATGATCTTTTCTGATTTCTAAGTCATTACCGATGCTGAAGTCCTACTTTTCAACCAACCAGCTGACTTTACGGCCATCCTTCAAGGGCAGTTGTTGCCCAGATTATATTTTTTTACTGCCACTTACCACAAGCTCAAAATCATTTCAAAACTAAACATGTTTGAGGTTAGAAAGCTTTCTTTTAAGAGAAAATGGGACAAACTGAAATCTATGTACTTATACTCTGTTTACCTCCCTTCAAATCTTATGAAAAGGGTATTAAGAAACTGACCTTGCTCCCAGCTCCATAACTAGTAAGCAACACACTAGAGATGGAAATTCATGCTGTCTGTCTCCTAAGCATGGGGAATTTAAAGGACTTTTCCAGGTAATAGTTAATTACATCTCCTGCTTCTGACAGGTTCCTGAATTTATTTATTTATTTTTAAAGATTTTATTTCTTTATTTGAAAGAGAGAGACACAGTGAGAGAGGGAACACAAGCAGGGGGAGTAGAAGAGGGAGAAGCAGGCTTCCCGCTGAGCAGGGAGCCCGATGTGGGGCTCAGTCCCAGGACCCTGGGATCATGACCTGGGCTGAACGCAGATGCTTAACCGACTGAGCCACCCAGGTGCCCCAGGTTTCTGAATTTATTAATAGGATTTTAAACTATACAGACACACATGCAAAAGAGTAAACTAGTCTCTCTTCATTTATACAATATCTTTCCCATTGTTTCTTGTTCACTATCCATTTGTTCCCAGCTAGAAAAAAATATTAAGTATTAAAACACAATATTGTCTTATTCTACAGAGGTTGATTCTTCCTCTGCTGGTGGGTTCTCTCTGGGCTGGTACAACCCCTATAGGCAGGGTGGGACATGGTTCTAAGTGGGCTCTGGGATGAGAACTTTCTACCAAATATTCCAAGATAGCTGTTGGAAAATTCCTGGCAACTCCTTGAAATCCAGTCATGTAGGTGTCTATATTCTGCCAGAATCAGGTCCTCTTCTGAAAATCCCTCCACTGAGAGGCAGGACTGCAGGGCCCTCTGCACTCTCTTCCTGTGTGAATCTGAAGTTCACAATTAGCACATTCACATTTTTTTATAGCATGGACTTCCCTTTCCTGTCACTTTCTGTGTCTCACAATTGAGCATATCATTATTTAAGCCTATCTTGTTGTTATATTATATACTCTCAGGTCATGTTACCTAATTGAATCGTGTGAGTATGTCCCATCACCTCATCTAGACTATAAACTTCTTTGGGTACTAATATCAGTTTATTAACTTTTTGTACCCCATAGCATGCCATTATGCATTCACACAGTGTTAGGGATATGATAGCACAGAATAAATATCTGATAGATTTACTTATATTTAACCCCAAATAGGTGATGGAACCTACCTTGTTGCAGAATATATGTATTAAGCCCTGTTTTTTCTGATCAAAACATCAAGAAATTTTAAATAAAGCAGCATTGTAAAATAAAATAATTATAGAGTGGGAATAATATCAGAATGACAAGGTAGTGCTTAGATGTGGGTAAGAGAGGGAAACAAATAAGAAAAAAGATTTTTTTAATCTAAGATAAAATTGAAATTTTAGGAAAACAACATACCTATAACATATAAAGGTTGGTTATGCATGATATAAAATTTATAATGTAAAAAAAGACAAGTGAGGACACCTGGTTGGCTCAGTCGGTTAAGCATCTGCCTTTGGCTCAAGTCATGATCCCAGGGTCCTGGGATCAAGTCCCACATCGGGCTCCTTGCTCAGTGGGGAGCCTGCTTCTCCCTCTGCTTGTGCTCTCTCTCTCACACACACACAAATAAATAAATAAATAAAATCTTTAAAAAATATATTTAAATAGTTAAGCTTTTAAAAATAACTTTTTAGGGATGACTGGGTGTTATAGTCAGTTAAACATCTGTCTCTTGGTTTGGGCTCAGGTCATGATCTCAGGCTTGTAAGATTAAGCCCCACCTCTGGCTCCATACTCAACTTGGAGTCCGCTTGGGATTCTCTTTTCCTATCTCTCTGCCTCTCCCACTCATGCTCTCTCTCTCTCTCAAATAAATAAATAAATCCTTAAAAAAATAACTTTTTAGAAATGTCCTATTTCATCTCAAGCTCAACATCAAAGTCAAAGATCTTTACCATTTCTTCCAAACACTCCAACCTTCTCTCACTTCTCTGCTACTTTGTAGCAGGAAACTTAGTGTCCTGTGGACTCTCTAGGATGGAAGGAAGAGGTCAGCTGGCTGGGGGTGCAAGGAGCCCCTTGCTGTTCTCAGCCCCATCAACGGATGAACTCATGACCTTTCCCAGTTTCTAGCACCTGGAGCATACATAGCATAGATTCCTCACTATTGGTCAGGGGTGGACGTTTGGGGAGAGGAGAGGGAAAGCCCACCATAGAGAGAAGCAAATTTCTGGAAAAAGTACAAAATCTCTGAATTATGCCAGTGATGTGTTCCAAATGTATTTTGTTTTTCAAACCTATTATCTGTTTTCAACAAATCCAATTGGGTTCTGAATTTCTTATCCATACATAAGTCCTAAAGTTTAGACTTCTGATATGGAGCTCATATCTAACTTGATACTCTTCTTGGGAAACTTGGTTGGCAATTGGGGAACATTTGATCACTGTGACATAGGTAGAAATGATTGCAGGGTTTTTGAAATTCATGGGTAAAGTTTAAATGTGTAGAATGACTTTTCCATCAAATAACAATTTACCTGAGTTTCTAATAATCAGCAAATCTGATTACAGTATTTCTATACTGTCAACCATATATAAGGAGAGATTCTTACGACCTAGTTCTTTCTAATCTGGGTTTTTGTGGCCCTAGAGTGATAAAATCAGTGAAATCATCAAAAGAAAATAGCAGGGTTTAGGTAATACACAAACTGAGTTATTCTAGACTGCAAATTGTCATAGAGGATATAAAAAACACCTTTTGAGTACTGTGATATAGGGAGACTTTTAATATAAGTCTCTGTGAACCAAGAGGGAATGAGTTATTTTCACTGCTCCTTAAGGATTTCCTTGCAATATTTGAAAGTTCTTTATTTTCACCTCTATGGAGTTTGTTTCATATGTTATGAAACCATTATTGAATTCAGAAAATAACACCGAATAAACTATTTGCAGATAGAATTAGAACTAGTGATATGTATAAGGCTTGAACAAGTGGACTTGGCTTTTCCTTCCTCTGAGACCCCTGAAAAGCATTTGAGAATTAAACATGCAGTCCTAGACCTCATTATCACCACCCTGAAAGCAGTCTGTTTTTGTGTTGCAGGCAATGAAAGCTTAGAAGAAAACTATGTCCAGGACAGTAAGATGGGGTTTGTCATCAATGCCATCTATGCCATGGCTCACGGGCTGCAGAACATGCACCACGCCCTCTGCCCAGGCCATGTGGGCCTCTGTGATGCCATGAAGCCCATCGACGGCAGCAAACTCCTGGACTTCCTTATCAAGTCCACGTTCATCGGTGTGTCTGGAGAGGAGGTGTGGTTTGATGAGAAAGGGGATGCTCCTGGAAGGTAAAGCAGTCTTTTCTGTAATGGTTCGAATAACCTTGTGATCCTCTTAGCTAGACAGATGGCAACTCTGGCCCCTTTGGTTCCATGGTTTCCAGGGGTCATAAGGATAGATACAACTGAAAGTTCAAAAGATAGGGCTAATCTTAGATGGAAATTATGTTGTAAAACATTGAAAACTTCTTGGTAAGCATTCACAATTCTGTATTCTCCAGTGCCAACCCCCTACCCAGCTATTACCCTGGCCCTTCTCTCAGAATGCATGGGACCTCCTACAAGCCCAACAAAAGGATAAGATTACACCTTAGCAGCAGGCTCCTCCCTGGCAGTTCCAGCACCAGACCAGCATCTTTCTGATCAATTGGTCCCAAAGCCATCCTGGTTGTGTAAAGTTTTAATAAGAGCCTAATATATGGGGCACCTGGGTGGCTCAGTCCATTCATTACATGTCTGCCTTCAGCTCATGTCCTGATCCTGGGGTCCTGGGATCCAGTTCAGCATCAGGCTCCCTGCTCAGCGGGCAGTCTGCTTCTCCCTCTTCCTCTGCCCCTCCCCTCCCTGCTCATGCTCTCTCTCTGTCAAATAAATAAATAAATAAATCTTTAAAAAAAAAAGAGCTTAATATATGAAGAGAACCAAGTCCTCCTTGTGTATCCCCTTTCCTTGGGCTAACTTATGTTCCTACTAACATGTCTCTTGAAACAAAAAAGAAAAGAATTTTCTTTCTGGTATCAAGTCTCTATGGCTTCCAAAGAATTAATCAGGAAGCAAAGAAAAATTAAACCTAACAAATATATATGTTTTTCCCCAAGTCATTTTATATACAGTCTGTTCTGCAACCGCTGCTTTTATAATATCAGTTAGCTCACATGTGATTGGTAGAGAATGATGTCAGTTTAAAGAGCAGTTGTCTTCATTCATATGAAATTTTCTAGGCAAGGGATAATCAGAATCGTGGGAAAAGATTAAAGTCTGCTGCAGGAAAGAAAAAGGCCCTCAGCTTGGCTGCTATTCAGTATGCCCACAGTCTTGTTTTTTTTTTTTTTTTCCCTCTCTTAAGCCCTGTTATCTTTCAGTATATGATTTTACAGAATGAGAAATTTTGGGAAAGCATATGTTGTGTTAAAATGGAACATCAAATCATTTAATCCTCATTGCTATAGGCATATCATTATCCTCTTTTACAGATGATAAACTGAGTGTCAGAGAAACTAAGAAACTCACCTAAATTCATGCAGTGAGTAGCTGGTAGAGGCAGTGCTGTCTGAGTCTGACACTTAAATTTTTTTGCCACATCATGTTGCCTTTTAGCTAATCCTAAAATTAGGCAAAGATGCTGGCAGCCTGCTTAATGTCATTTCAAAGGTACTGTTAGAGACTAGCTGACCCTAAGTAATTCCCAACATATCTCTTCCTTTCATGTAAGCTTAAAGTTCTGTGTTCAGACAGTGCTCAGACAATATTCAAATGATGATGAATTTATCAGATTCCTTCCAGGCTGCCAGTTAGGTAGGAGGAGATGTAGATCCAAATGTGAGTGGAGTGGATGGAATGATTTAGGGCCTAGGGATATGGAAAGCTTCCAGGTGCCGGGCACTCTGGGAAACAGTACCAGAAGGAACAAATGGACCTGAGTGCTCAGAACACTGAGCACGCTCTCCTTCAAGCCCATGGTTGTCATCCTGGCTTCCACTGGAAACTAGGCTCCATAAACTGTTAGATTTGGAATGGAAACCTACCTTCATGATTCTCCAAGACGACATACACAGTGTGCCCAGTACAGGACGAGATGCCTTTTAGACACTCCCTATGTACGAGTTTCCTCCTGCTCTCTTTATTTGTAAGTTATCCAAAATATAGGGACGCAGTTTTAGCTTGTTTTTCCTCCATGTGTAATTACAGGTTCAAATCATGAGCTTTCCCCTGGGTTCCTTTTCAAGGATCACTTCCTCAGGCTTGAAATTGGTCAGCTCAATCTGTGTTCGTTTGTTTTAACCCCCTCCCTCTGCTTCCATCCCCTCTCATACCACCATTCATGCTCTTGGTCCCGCTGGTAATTATTTTAGTTAATTTAGTTATTTTAGTTAATCATCATGCAACATAAACTGAGTGCATCCAGAGGATGCTATAAAATTGTAATTTACAACATGAGGATATTCCAAATGAATGCCAACATGCCGAGAAGGGACTTGGGTCAAGAGAAAAGAGCCGTGTTCATTAACACACATAGCACAGGGGAGGCCTCTGTTCAGTATCTCGGTTGTTTTCCCTTGGTATCTTTCAGTATTTTTGTCCTCTGGCTTTTGGAACTTTTTGAAAAATGTGTTTTCATGCCAAAATATTATGAATTTTTCAGTTTCTAAATGCTAATGAAGTGTGAACTGATTTCTCCTATCGAAGAGCAAACGAGGATTGAAATAAGTCTTAGGAAACTTGATATGGTTTTGGAATATAAGTGAGGTTCAGTGGGGTGGAATCCCGAGCCAATGACCAAGAAAGAATTCTTGAGACGTCTTTGGTGCAAAATGGTGGTTTATTAAAGCACAGGGATAGGACCCGTGGGCACAAAGAGCTGCTGCAGCAGGGTTGTGAGGGGTGGCTGATTATATACTATGGAGTTGGGGGAGGTAAGGGAAAGGGAGGTTTCAAAAGGATTTTCATATGTTAAAGAGGCCTCACAGGATACCAGAGCCCTTGCCATTGTCAAGTTAAGGTTATTTTTCCCTCTAGCAAGGCATTAACATTAAGATAGTTGGGAGCTTCCTGGAAGAACGTTATACTCTGCCCACTTCAAGTATCTGTCAATGGGCTGCAGGTTATAAGGACATTTAATTGTCTGTACATTTCCTTTTGGAAGCTAGGTTATTGATAGAAATGCTTTGTTCTTATAGATTGCTAAGACATTTGTAAATTGAGGGAGACTCATGTCTTGCAGGATTGTGATCTCTACAAGTTAACTATTTGTTTTTCCTTAGCTTTAGGGTATCCAGGAGTGCATGAGGAATGTCACATATATCCCATCTGAGGGGGGTGGTTTGTAGGGTGTCAGCTTCTGCTTTGTCCTCAGCTTGCCTTCTGTTTCCTCATCAAACTGATTTATAGGAAAAAGATACCCTAAAGCTAACATTGTCCCAAAGTCTTCATTGAAAGTATGTAAGGAGAGTCAATAACAATATGGGGTAAAACATAAAAATTAAAGGAAGTGAAAAAGGAACTATTCACCAAACATTCACAACAGGTTCTATAACCATGAGTTTAAAATGGAAAAATATTGGAGGTGTAGATTAGCATCATTGGTCAGCAAGATGAGTAGGAGCCATCAGCCCACAGTTAATAGCTACTTGGATTTCCCTCAGAGAGCTACTCTGAAGAACATGCTGGGATGGCTCCACAACAAGAAGAATGAGAACCTTTATTTATTAGCCAAAAGTCAGAACAGCAAAGAGATGAATAATGTGCTCTAGGCATGCCATTTTCTCTTCTCATCTGGTAGGTTCCTTTTTCCTGGAAAAGTAGGGGGAAAACTTCCTTTCTTCTCCCAGAGTCCCCTTTCCCTTTAGAGAAATTGCCAGAATGTGGATATGGAGAAGCCACTAGCTACCCTGTGGATGGCAGAATTAATTTGCACATTAAGAACAGACAGAAAAGCCAACAAAGGATATTAGTTGTCTAGATAAAAAACTAAGTCAGATATAGCCAATAGGTTTTGGATGCCAACTAAGGTTGACAATAGCTTCCTGGAGTGCTGGGCTGAGGAGGACTCTGAGTGTGAATCAGGTTTAGAGAGAAAGAATTGCAAAATGAATTAGGTAAGAGTGTTGGGGGTTGAGAGGTGAGGAAGAGGAATACATGTTAGGTAATTGCCATCTATTTCTTCAGGTCAAGCACAAAGAGCAAGAGACCATGCCTCTTATATTCTAGTGCAGGACAGTGAGAACTGCACAGGTACTGCAGCAAAAAGAATCCCATTTTGCAGAGCCAGTAAGGGGGAATCAGGAATACATTTTTGGGAAACTGCCACATGAGTTGTAGCTTACTTGGAGTTAATAGCAACATGGAGAAGAGATTGAAGAATGCCAGAGGATTTCCAATGACTGAGAGAGAGACAGCTTTTGTTCTCCAGTTTTCTTCTGGTAGTGAAAATAACCAGAGTATTTTAGGGCATTCATAGTAATACAAATATGAATGATATAGTGATATTGCCTTACATATGCATTTGTCCCAATTGTGAAATCGTTTTTTTATATGACATATTAATTAATCCCCACAAGAACCCCGTGAACCTTTAAGAGTTTAGTGACATTCCTAAGTAGTATAATCTACTGCTAAAATGTTAGAAAAGAGATTCTAGCTTATGCATTCTAATGTCAAGTCCTGTGCTCTTTTCATCACTTTGGAGAATGTTCTCCATTGCCAACATTGAAAAATGATGAGTTCTGTCCCCCAGAGCACACTCAAGCTGCAGTGAGGATTTCAAAATGTAGATTTTGCCATAGTGTAGTATTGCAGCATTTGAAATTACTGGAATATCTGACACCGATTATTTAGATTCAGAAATGTTTGTCCTAATCAAGGAAGAGACCAGTTTAAATGTCAGTGCTCAAGATGTTAAATCCTCAACATCCTTGTTAATTAAAGCTGTGTTTCTCAGATTTCTTGCTTTATTAGCACCTAAAATAGGTTCCAGACTGGGTAAAACTCACTTCTTTTAATCCAGCATAATGAAAATGACAACTGATTGTGAAAAAGGACATTAGAATGAAATTAATCAAGTTAAGAAATTAATGTTCTCAAGAATCATAACTTAGTGAATAATGATTTGAAGGAGATGGTAATCAACTCAGCACACATAAGATTATTTGGGGGGAGAATAAGCAAAGAGAAAAGTACAAGAGTAATACATTCTTTAGCAGAAATGGACAATACACAGAGACTACAGAGTGAAACGCACATTTTGGAAAATCAGAGGAAACATTAGAAACGAAATAAAATATTGACAGGCCTTAGGACGTGGGATGATTCTTGCTCTTATCTCCCTTCTATTATATCTGTTTACCAAATTTCTTTGTTTTCTGCATCATGTCCATACTCTCCAAGACACATGTGTTGTTTTCTTTGTAGGTATGATATCATGAATCTGCAGTACACAGAAGCTAATCGCTATGACTACGTACATGTTGGAACCTGGCACGAAGGCGTGTTGAACATCGATGATTACAAAATCCAAATGAACAAGAGCGGAGTGGTACGGTCTGTGTGCAGTGAGCCTTGCTTAAAGGGTCAAATTAAGGTAAGCCAGCCACAGACGCATTCTTGGACAGGAGGAGGCCACCTGCATGGGCCTATGTAAAGAAAAACAGACATTTTTCTTAGACAAGACTGTCCAGAAAGGGTGTGCCAAGCATTTAGCTAAAATTGGAAAAACAAAGAAAGATTAGGAAATGAAACAGGCAAACCATTCGAATATTTAAGAATAGTCCTTATTTGAATCGCAATGATGAGCCGGAATCTTCAACCCAATATAGAAAGCAAGGGGACAAATACTTGAATTAAAAATTGAAACAGAAGTAAATGTGGAAACCAAAACTAATGATACTGCTTAGTCAGAGTTGTAGCTATTGTTAAAGAAAGCAGAAGCTGAACAGTACAAAATAAGCATGTAATGAACATAAAAGAAGTTGAAATGTGCTAACACAGAAGCTGCTTATTGTTTCTCTTTTGACCACCACATTCTTTGATTTTCCTGAAATTGGCATTTTGTAGCCAAGAGAGAGTCCTCACTTCCTAATTATTCTTAGAAGCTTTTTTTATCAGCCTGGGGCAAGTGAGTAACTACAGTATTGCTGTATGCATAACAGTAGAGTAAATAAACATCAAATATGGAGCCTTTGGCTGGGTGAGCTAGAGAGAATTCTCAGTGAAGAAAGCATGGAAACAGCACTCGCTGGATCCATGCTATTTAAAACCAAACACTATGGTGCACTAGGAAATCGAGCATGGGGCAGTGATGGCCAACTGGCAGGAGGATGGATTAAATGACCTGCTAGGTCTCTCCCCTCTCTAATTTGCTGTGATTCAGCTCTGGGAGCAGACAGGCTGTCATGTAAATGTCACATGGCACAGCTGGGCTGGAGTAGACGCTGTGGGAGGCCTGGCGCCTCCGGCCATGCCGCCCCACCACCTGCCCTTTCTGGGAGCTGCGCACCGCCCCTGCAGGGAGAAGCCTTGACAGGTACACTGAGGGGTCTGGGAGTGTGCAGAAGTGCTGCTGCAGAAACTGGAAGAGCCTCACCTCCACTGGTCAGTGAAGGCAGAGGATTTGGAAACCGCAACATCTTTTGAAGAGCTGTCATGATGGACTCAAACTCTCAGTGATACAGGCCACTTTGAGGAAGCAACAGACTTCTGAGACAATTCACCCCAGTTTGTTTGATTGAAGGGTTGATTGATTGCATTTTATTTTTTTTATTAGAGTATAGTTGACACACAAGGTTACATTAGTTTTATTCACCCTAGTTTTAAATATCTTGTGACTTCTATGGAGATGTGATATTAAAAGTACATAATAATTGTCATGACAACTAACCAATCAGACTGGACTCCTTCCTGGTGCTGTGACAGGGTCCTGGAGGCCTCCTGCCAAGCCCAGGGTTAGTCCTTGGATCTTGGGAAGATATGGGCGAGGAGTCCTGTAAGGCTGGAGTAGCGTGGGGCATTCAGGAGGCTCGAAGAGACCATGAGTTTCTACTCTGCACAGAAGTGTTTCAGCAGTGTAAGCATGGCTGCAACCACACCAGTGTGTATGGGCTCCTCCCCAGGAATCCCATTTCTGATTCTTGTCCTGATGAAATTCTTTCACATGAGGCTGTCTGGTGGTTTAAAATCCAGAGGCCCATAGCTTCTTGACTATTTCCACGAGATGCCAGACCACTGGATTCTATGTTTGTCATCCTTTCTGGATGGTGGGGAAATAGGACATCTGAGACGGAGGTCATACCATCAGGACAAAAGAGAAGCCCTGAGCTCATGGACTTCTGTGACTCAAAGAGTATCACATGTCTGGCTCAAGCCTTTCCAGCTTGTGTGTTAGCATTGTCTATGCCTCACACAACCACTGTAAAACAGTTTATAGAACTACAAAGTTGGGTTTTTCAGAGTATAAGAAAAACAAACCAACCAACCTGGCAAGAGAAAACAAATCATTCTAAAGATTCTCTGAACTCCAGCCGCCTTTCACAATTCCCTGCTATCCCTGTGATTGCTGGCAGGCCATGGATGGGGGCTCACATACCATGTGGATTCTGCTTTGTACATTCCAGAAGAAAGGCCTTTCCTCCCTGAGTTCAGAAGAAAGGCTGTCTGCATACATCTCTATGCCTGGATACTAAAGTATTTCTGGCAACATGTTTGCATTACGCCCATGCAGTGTTTGTTATTGAAGGAGATCCCAGAAATCATTGCAGAGCCATTATAGAGCACTCACTATAAATGCAAATCTCTTGGGGTCTAATTTTAGAACTGTTTTGTACCCTGCAGGAGGAAAATATGCCTGTTCTCAATGGCACCTGGAGTGGAGGTTGGGGTGGTGGTGGAATGTTTGTTTGTTTCCCATAAGTACCAAGGGAGGTATGGAAACAAATGAAATCTGAATCCCATTTACCAAATGATAGCACTTATATTCTTACACCACCAATTTGCCACCTACCAGGCCCAGGATGCAGAGAGCCAGATCCCTCAGTAGCCACTACAAAAACAGGAGAGAGGCAACAACGAGCAAGGTGATTATAGGACTTGCACTTGCATTAACTGGGAAATACACTGTTTAGAAAAGGAGTACTCATTTTAAATATCAAATGCCATTTAAAGTGCTAAAATAAATGATTTGACTCTTTTTGTGATAACCCATAGAACTCTTTTATGGTAATTTCCCTCAAAGTAGTTAAAAGTCCAGTTTTCTTATGTTACTGATCTTTAGAAATATAAATATAATATCTTATACATATAATATCTTACAGAAACAGAAATTTATTTTAACCATTCCATAAACATAGTTAAATAAAATCAACCTTTTTATGGTTGTGTGTTATATTAGTCAGGGTTCAGACAGGAAAAAAAGAACCCTGGCCAGGTTGTTTGATAGAGGGAATTTAATATAAGAAATTGGTTATATAAGTGAATGAGGGTGCCCAGGGCACCTCAGAGTTGACCAACAGCAGGAATCATCCTCACCCTGAGCCAGAGGGACACAAGGAGAGGTCACAGCCACTCCTGAGATGACCCGAGAGGATACCGTGGCTTCTCTTCTTTCCTTCTCTTCAGTCTCCCATTAGGTCCTTGCATTTTGCCAACACCATCCGGAAGACATTGGCAAGAAAGCCTGGACGATGTAGTTCACAGGTTTCCTGGAAACCTTTAAACTAAGCAAGGCTTAAGGGCTAGTGCATTACTGGGAAATAGGATCTCAGAGATGCAAGAGTGAAGGGGAAGGGGAAAGGAGCTACGGAAGCGTGGAAAAATGCCAGCACCACCATCATCACTGAGGTAATGCTCTACTGAGCCGGACGCTGCTCCACTGAGTACAGCTAGTCATTCAGCCTCACAGAGATCTCTGGACAGGCCGCTCGCACTGCCTCCTGAAGCAAGGAGGGGAGAAGGGTGTGTGCACGTGTGCCATGGCGGTTTCTGCTTACTGTGGTCAAAGTTTGTTCACAGGAAGTGACACCATCTGATCCCTTTAGGCAGCTACTGGGGAAGCCAGAATCTCTGTCCCATTCCATGGTCCTTTTGCAGATTAGAAGCGGTCAGAGGACCAAAGCCTCTGTAGATCCCCTGCAGTCTGGTCTGGCCTTCTGTTGTGCTGAGTACAATGGAGCCGTTCTGAAACCCAGTGATGGAGTCACGGGAGAGACAGACAGGAGGAAGTGCCAGAAATGAGGCAAGAGTGATAGAGGCTGAGGTAGGGGTTGCAGAAGATTCCAGGACTTTCCAAGAGCCAGTGGCCAAGGGTCTAAGAGACAGGCTTGAGGAAGAGGATCTGAAGCAGCATACAACGTGTGGACAATGGATCTGCAAGCAAACACCAAGGGCCTGGCATGTGTGGTGGTCTCCTGTACCAAGCGTGCAGCGATTTTTCTTGGTGTGGTAAAGGGCAGGAAAGAGCCGAGAAGGGGCAGGAAGGTGAAGGGGGGCAGTAAAAGGAAGAAGGGAGACAATAGAGATCAGAGACGAAGGTTTATCAAGCATATTCTTGTGCAGGTACAATAATAGGTACATTATAGTCACCATTTTAATTATTCCTTAAAACAACCCTTTTAAAGCTGATACTCCCCCCCTGCATATTGCAGATTCCTCAATCTGAGGCCCAGAGAGGCTGAGTCACTTGGCCCAAGGTTTCTCAAGCTAGAAAGTGCCAAAGCTGGGCTCGGAGCCAGCCCAGAGCTCTCATCATCCCACCGCCTCAGGTTGTTTAGCTACCTGTCATTAGAGGACCCAGTGTATCTCTTACAAATGCAAGTCTCAGTTGCTAAGCCTTATTTTCTCAGTAGTTGACAATAAAATTATAAATAGAGTTCTACTTTAGCAGGGAATAGAATCTAGAATTGAGGAAGCAATATTAGCAAAGGAGCTTGGGAGAGTTTAATAAAAGCAGGGAAACTGGTGACAGAGTCGAGGGAAAGAATCCTGCAGATTATTTTCAGTGGCTCCTATTCTTTCTTTTCCTCTCCTTTCTTTTTTCCTCCCCTTAAGTTTGGGTTCTTTACTTTGAGAGGATGTCTTTGGGGCTAAGGGGTTGGGCATGAGGAACAGAGAGCCCTGATTCCTCCTGTTCTTGCCCAGCCAGTCAAAACAGAATTCTGGAGAAATTACATGAACATAATAGAATACATCACAAGTGTGTCCTCATTTACACATGCCGTATTGTCATATAGTAAAATACACCTTACATACGTACAGAAAAGCCCAGGTACACATATCTTACAAACTACAGGCTTTGGAATTAGGTTAGCTAATTTCCTTTCAAGGGATAAGTCTGATTCTTTTCCATTTGTTGGCATTTTCTATTGGAGAGATAAAAGTTTAGTTTCAAAAGTGTTAGCAGTGTGAACCTCAGAAGATTGCGTAACTTAAAACTGCTAAAGCCCCTTGCTCAGCTTCAGCTTCCATGTCCCTCTGTTTCCCATTCCAGTTAGATCAGCAAAGAGGCCAAACCATGGATTTGTTGAGTATCAAACTAAAAGGGACATGTTCATTTTCACTGTGATCCAAGATGTCTTCGAAGATGAAAGGATGCTAGGACAGTCTATTAAGAAACCATTTATGGGGCACCTGGGTGGTTCAGTCATTAAGCATCTGCCTTTGGCTCAGGTCATGATCCCAGGGTCCTGGGATCGAGCCCCGCATCGGGCTCCCTGCTCCGCGGGAAGCCTGCT